GTTATGCTTATCACACATTTCATAAAATTATTATCATCTAATTACAGAAGTGTCATTTACACCTCTCTAGTTTTAAACAGAATAGGGGTTTGCACCTAGCATTAGATCCGAACTGTAGTATATAGGAAAGATCCTTTAGAAATTATCCTATTTACCATTAAAGTAACTCTGTTCATTTACCATTAAATGAACTCTGAGCACTTACAAGTAAGGGTTAATACTTTTTTTAACATGGATCTTCTCTGAAATGTAGCATTTCACATACTTCTCTTTCCCCTCAATAACCTTATTAAGGAAGTAATGCAGATTAACTAAACAGCTCAAGCTAACTAAAATACTATGAATAGCTTATAACAAAGAATTTTTATTATCATTCATAGCAAAACATAGAACTATGTGCTAACACAGAACTGTTCTTAAACTGTCATTCCAAAATTCATCTTCTCTCCATTATCACTGAACTATAATGTCATGTTGCATCTGCAGTTAAAGTACCTCCTTGACTGTTGTCAAGTACAAGTGACTAAATGTTCATCTTCACTGGTCAACAAAATACAGTATTACCACCTATAAATAGCGGGAATTAAAATTTAAGACCACTTTATAGGAAATCCAGATAGAATCATAGAATGGCTCAGGCTGGAAGGGAGCTTAAAGCTCCTCCAGTTCCAACCCCCTGCCACAAGCAAGGGCACTTTCCACTAGAGCAAGTTGCTCCAAGCCCTGACCAACCTGGCCTTGAACACTGCCAGGGATGGGGCAGCCACAGCTTCCTTGTTCATTCATGCAGGCCTCCTTCAGTTACTTAAATTGGCTACTGACGGTCTTCTTTTGTCAAAGATAAGGAGGGTTAGAAAAGCACAGCTGCAATGGGCCACGAGCTTCCATACCAGTTTCACCAAAACCTAACATTATTCTGGCCTGCATGGATTTTGTACAAAGATTTGGAAATGTGTCTACTGAAAATGTGACTATACTACCAATGTGAATGATACAGCAAGATTCAACGGGATGTTTATTAGACAGCAAGACTACTCAGTAATCGACACTGAAGACCAGTTTTGGACAGAACACAAATCTTGTGCTTCAGGGTTTAAAGGTAGTCTATAACAATCAGCATTTGGGGAATAACTCTGTGGAAGATAATTAGTTCAGCTGTTCTTAAACCTTTTCTAGGGTATCAGGTTGTTGAAGGAAACATTCTGCATTAACGGTACATCTACTAAAGTGCAACTGTTACTGTGCTCTAAACCGAGGTCTTGATTTCAAACATTTTCTGCACAGTTATTAACAACATGCTCTACAAATTAAAACCCCATGATTGTTCTTCAAGAAAGCTCAAAGAGTTTTCTGTGGGAGACTTACTTTCTTGAAAAATATGCACTTTCTGTTAAAAAAAAAAAGTACATTTTCATTCTTACTCAGTTTTTCCCAACTGCACCATCCCTTAACAATCAAGCTTCTGCAAAAGTAGTAAGAATACTGCTTTCACCTTTTATCTTCTTTCTGTTTGAAGTTCTACTCAAATAATTTACAACATCCTAATTGTGATCTTCCCATTTCCCATATTAATAGCAGATGTCTCCCCAGTGCTGTATTTTAGTTTCTAAATGCTATGGACAAACACAGGTGAACCTAAAAAAATCATTGCCAACATACATACAGTGGGAAAATACAAAGGAGCAAACCTGAGGAAACTAGATCTATCCTTGTTAAAATTAACATATGCTTCACTAACATAACCAGATCATGCCTAGTTTTTGGCATGATGCTGCTATCTGACATGTTGAACTTAATTAATGTGAACGATAATCAACACTTTCATGATTTCCACTTGGATACTCAAATCCCAGCCCTAGATATAAGAAACTATACCTCAGCTTCCTGTTATCACAAAATACAGTTTTGACCAAATTTGACATTACGTGAATACTTTGAAAAGGGTGGCACTGATTCCTTAGTACAGTTAGCAACCTAGAGATTTGTCATGCTTAAAAAAGGCCAGTTCATTCATATGTAATAGTTTCAACAATATTTCATTTCTTTACTTTCAATACAGATTAATTTAATGATTGAAATATAAATGCCAAAAGTAAGTTATTGTATACATCTCAGTGTAAAATGAAATATTCAATTTACTTTTATTAAGTTCTGAACCCGTAACTCAGAAAGACACCGTGATAATAACCATCCTAAAAACATCACAAAATGGAGAGACAGCTTTCAGGTGTGTTATTAATGAAATCAGGTGCGTTACCAAGAGAAAGAGTTTTGGTAGAGGGCTGGATCTGTGATTTTAGCCAAGCAGATCTCCCACAAACTTCAGAAAGACGATTTATTTAAATAAAAACTGCAGGGTAATGCTCTTTAATTCTCAAGTATGAGTCAGCTTTTATGTTTCATATTTAAATAAAGATTTTATAATCAGCAAAGAAAGAAAAACAAGTCTGAGGTGCTACTTAGACTGTGAGCCCATCTGCCTTGATCCTGTAGATCATAACAAACCAAACCTGCCATTAGCTTTACTCAGTTCTCTGTGCAGCAGGATCACAGATCATGGATCCTGAAATATGCAGCCTATATAACTTACGTAACTTAACATGAAAATACACAAACAAAACACCAGACATCCTACACAACACAAGCTCAGGGAAGGAGGCAATGCTTGGATTGCCTGTGCCTTGCTGTGTTTTTAATTTAATTCAAATTGAATGAGGTATGAATTCTGGCTCGGATCCTGCACCCTGAAGCATGCAGGATGAAAACTGCGCCTGCGTCAAGTCCCACTGCCTACAGTACACTTGCATAGTACATAATGCAGGATGGGAGCCTGTGGGGCTTTGTTGGTTCACTCAAACATGCTTGTAACCTTATTAAACTGCAGTACAGCTGATTAAGAAGAGCCTGTTGAATAAACATTGCAGTATTTTATGAGCACATAATCACCAAGTATTTTGGAAGTTTGTTTTTTAGCATACTCTTGTACCTTGAAAAAAGGAAGCTGATGGTTTGTATACTATTGAGTAGACTTCTGCAGTACCATGCATTCATAAGCAAGTGCTGCTGCAAGCAATCAAAAGCCTTCCTATATGCAAATACTTTGCTGAGAACATTTTAACCTGAGAGATAAGACAAACAAATACTGCCCACTGAAATCTTCTCAAAAATGACATATACCTATACACCAAGTAGATCTACCAGATCCATTTTCAAGTGCATCTAGCAAATTAAGCAGAAAACTATTTTCTTTTAATCTTACGTTGCCTATTTTTGCAAATATATCATACAAACCAAAAACATATTGTGCTAAATACCGATCTTTGGCCCTATCAAACGACTTAAACACAGAAAACTATGTTTTTAGCCTTACTTGAAAGTCCCAGACTGTCAGACCTTCTAATGGTATTTTAGTGTGTCTTAATTATCTGCATTATTGTTTTACTGAATCTTCACTGAAGTGGCAACAATGAGAAATCACTGTACTGAATACCTGGAGTCTCACAAAATGCTAAATTACTGTGAACATAAGCAAAAGGAGTCAAATTCAACCCTGGGAAACAGGTATGACTCTAATGCACTGATCACTGGCACTCTACTAAACTACTGACTAATTTGACTTAAAAGGCCTGAACCTGCTTTCGTTCAGGATGGCAAAGAAGTATAAAACCTTCAGAAATTAGAATTATGTAGAACCTATTTCAAAGGTCTCCAACTGTTAAGTCATAGTGTCTCACCCTTCCTCCCCTGAACTCTGCAAGAGTTTTGACACTAGCTATAGCTGAAAACCAAACAGAATTGGAATCATGATATCCAAGATAAGAAAAGATATGTTTCGCAAGGATCAGATCTGCACACAGTCTCACAGGCTTGTCTTGTTGATTGTTTATATTTCTTCCTTCTCCCCAAAACACAAAAAGAAATGAGAATGCACTTGAGTTGGCCATAACCTAAGTTTGAAATCAATTGGTATCTAGCTAATAGCTAATTTTATTAGCTATTTCCTACCTAATAAAAGTATACTGAATAAGTAAAGTCCATTTACCCTTGATAAGGTAAACTGCACTAATTAAAAATTCTGCATTTGAGCTTTTTAAGCAAAACACATAAGCAAACAAAACTTCTAGTAAAGTCTTCTGAATAACATCAAAGTTAAATATAACAGCAGAGGATTGTAATATAATCTCTCCTTTTGCTTTTGATCTTCATTCCAAAAGTGTAATTTTCGTATTCCAGAGTTGGTCAGAAGTACCAAATAGTTTGTGCTGATTTTACTTGTGCAATTAAGGAAGACCAGTGAAAACTCTGTTGCAGAAAAATTATACAAAACATAAAATACACATAGGGATATTATATGTTTTCTACTCAAAGAAAATTCCCACTTAAGGACCTAACCAATACATAGAACCCAATGCCAAACAGATTTGGCAACTTCTGACATTTAGGCTGCCCCACTAAGTTTGTTGTCATATTATCTTCAGTAGTAACACTAAAAAAAACCCACCCTGAATCTACATCCAGTTCCTCACAAATCATTGAGGTGCACATCCAGTAATCACTGTGTTGGTTTTTGTTTCTAGTTGGTGCCTTTTTCTTAAAAAAGGGAAGGAAAGAACGAGGATGAGAAGAGTGAGGAGGGGAAGCAGATGTATGTAATTCTGAATTTCTAATCACTTGTAAATGTTATCTGTACTAGCACCAATTGATTTGCTTTCCTGCCCGCAATCTACTTACTAGTTTGGGGTCCAAGCATGGACTCAGGATTTGGCCTTGAATGCTGAAATCGAGATTTTTATTAATTTCCTGACCACCCCAACTCTGCAGCAGGAAGAAAAAAAAAAAAGGCATCAACGAGACCTCTGCCTTTTCATCCCGAAGTCCTTATACAACCACTGCAGTTCTCAAGTAAAAGGCTTACTGGCATCATATTACTGCCCCCACACACCACACAGCTTTTCTTATTTCCATAGTAAAAGAAAAACAGAACAAATTACAGCCCTTACCTTACAGATCTGGAAATAATCTGAAGTCAGCGTCTCCTGGATCTCTTCTCTGGGTGTCCCTGCAGCTCCTGCAGTCCCTCCTGGGTGCATGGAGCCTCCACCAGCCCCACTTCCACCACTGCTGCCACCACCACTGCTTCCTCCAGGGGATGAAGCAGTTAAACCGTCCAAAACTTTGCGAAAATTAAATTTCTTCATTTTGGAAAAATCTCTCGGAAGATTGGGGGGGAGAGAAAAGATGTGTCGTAACACATTCAGCTACATGGAGCGAAAAAGAAAGTCTTTAATGGTCCTCTGAGTGAGGCAGCACTTACAAGTCTCTTGTACCCAACACAACGTCAGTATTAGGTATAATTGATTGCAAAATACAAAGGCTTCATTTTTTCAGCTACCTGGAAAGGTCCTTTTAAAAAAATAAATAAATAAAAAATAATCCACAAGCAGCAGAACTAAGATTTAATTCAAATAAGGAACAACGGAACAACCGCCATCGGGTTCTCTCCCAAAATCCACATTTAGCAGCGGCTAAAACCGAAAAGTAAACAAAAAATTCAAGCCGGCATCCAAAACAGTAGGCTCCATCTCTCTACCTTTCCTCCCTAAGGTTTGCCTTCGGTACTTGATTATTTAGCAGAACGACAAAGATTTGGCTACATTGGATTTCCTCCTCCCCTCCAGCCCCTTGCAGCCAGGGTACCTCTGCCTCCAGGGCTCCAGAGTGGGCTCCCTCTCCCTGCCCGCAGCCGCGATTTAGCTCCCCAGCGATGTGCCCGCCCCACCGCTACCGGCAGCCGCTGCCTCGCTGGATCCTCCTCTTTCCCCCTCGTGCTCCGCCGGGAGGGTGCGCGGCAGCTCCGCGGCGGGCTGCGGGCCCCGCACTTTCCCGCCACCCACCCGCCCTGGGAGGACCGACCGGCGGTAACGAGCCCTAAGCCAGCCCGGCCGGTCCTGGGCTCATCACTGGTCCCGTCCCTGGGGTGACGGACCCCCTCAAACCCTCCCGGTCACAGCTCCCAGTTCCCCTGCCGGTCACCAAGCCTGTGCCGTCGCCGTGCCCCCAGGGGCCGCTCCAGGGGGACCGGACTCCCTCGGCGATAGGGAAGGTAACCGGGGCGACCACTCGTTCTAAGGCAACGGCTCCTAATGGTCCCCGGGGGCGCCTGTGGGAGCGTGGGAAAGGGGCTGAGGGGACTGGGGCGAAAGAGCAGAGGGTGAGCGGAGGGCGGCGCTGCCAGCCAGCTGCGGCGGGAGCACTCGCAGCCGCTCTCCGCGGTACTGAAACCTCCGCCGGCAGCAGCAGCCGCAGCTCCTCCTCCTTTTCCCTCCTCCGTCCTCCACGCCCCGCCCGCCGCATCAGCGCGGAGCCGAGCACCGAACCCTCCCCTCAGCTCCACTGTGTTGGGTGAGGGGGGGGGAAGGCGGGACTAAGGTTGGTGATTGACAGCAGCGGCAGGTTGCGATTGGTTACTGAGGTCAAGTTGGGTGGATGTGACTGGCGGAGAGGGGAGGTGGGCGGATCCTCAGCCGGACGCTTGCTACGGTGAGAGGCAGAGCGGCTTCACCGCCGCTGTGATCCGCCGCACCTGATTGGGGGGCTCTGCAAAGATGGGCAAGCTCTTCAACCAATGGGAAAGGCGGAACCGCCAGTTTCCCGCCCCCAGGGAACCTCTGAGGCGCCTTCCCTCCGCGACGCCCCGCCCCTGAGCCGAGATTGATGTGTCTGGGGGCGGGGCTTCTCCGCCCCGGCCACGCCCCACTGCGGCGGGTACGCTGCGACGGCTGCGAGGGGGAAGAGCTCCCCGCGGCGGAGGGTTGAGAGGCGGGTAGCGGGGGGGCTCGGAACCCGCTTTGGTTCGGGTCAGTGGGGCGAGCTGAAGTTGGTTCTCAGCCTCTGCGGCGAGCGCAAACCCAAACAGCCCCAGAATGTTACGGGAGGTAGCGGCCCTGGCGAGGGGGAGCCTCCGTTCCCTGCCGGGGCGCAGAGCAGCGTGTGCGGGTCGGTGTCCAGCCCGACTTCTCATACTGCGCACAAATCCCCTTTCCCACACCGATGGGAGTGAAACCAGACGCTGTTGCCCTTCCAGGCTCCAAACTGATGGAAATCGGCGTGGGACGGCGCGCCGGCCTCTGAAGTGCGGTGCAGCACAAGGAGCATTAAACTGTGCACAAGACTCTACATAAAAAACAAACAAAAAAAGGTTGTTCAGATCAGAAATAAATGAGTTATTTATTAAAAGTGACTCATGGCACAGCGCTGTCAACGTAGTTGGAAGGTTGGAACTGACTAAAATGGTGTAAGGTTAAAAATGAAGTAATTAAGATGAAGAAAACGTCATGGACATACGTGGAGAAAAAGAGATTAGAGTCAGAGGGTGCTAGAGGCATATAGTTCTGCAGTTCTAGGGAGGACAGAGATAAGATGGTTAAGTCTTAACTGAAGGAAGGACCAAAGTTAGACGAATGATGAAAAGCCTTTGGAAGTGGAATAAGATGCATACCTTTTTGGAATATCACCAGCATTCGTCTTTCTGAGAATCAGTATGAGGAGCTGGGTATTGGCGATTAGATACTACGTCAGAGTATCCAAAAGGGCAAATACAAAACCCAAAACCAGATACTGCCCAATGAAACATTGAGCAGACCTGTTTAAAAACTTGTGCATGTGAGGCATGTAGGTCCCTTCTGAAAAGTTTGCTCGAAGCTGAGCTCAAGTCCAGAGCAGAGGCAGAGCGATGGAAATGAGAGTGGTAGAGTGGGAGACAGGACAGTGGAGGATGTAGGAAAACTCAGTAACAGTGATGGCATGCACAGAAAGGGGTCCCATTGAATGATAGGAAAATGTTAGGAAAAAAGGAAAAGGAACAGTTTGGTTTTGGCATAGGAAAGGCACTTGTTGTTTAGTGGAGAGACAAAAAAAAGTAAGCAGGTGATACATTCAGCTGCTGTTTTACACAGTGTTTGGGATGTTATTGATGTTTAATAGGACGCCTCTTGAGGTTGCATGGTTTTGACACCAAGAGTTTTAAAGGGTTTGTAAAATGATGAAAATGTGGAAACATTTTTAGATGTTAAATTGATGTATAACAAATGAAATAAGGCATCCCAATGTACTGTGGGATATAGGTATCTGAATCTGTGTTTTATCCAAAATAATACAGAATCATATAATAGGGTTGGAAAGGACCTTAAGATCATCTGGTTATCTTTATTATCCAGTAAGGAGAGAGTATATTCTTCAGTGTTTTAATCTTCAGTAATCTTATTCTTCAAAGTCAAAGAGAAACCAGATGTTAAAAGGGTAACAGTTTACTAGCAAGACTTTTCTGAGGAAGAGAGCATCTTTAACAGTCTACATCATAAAAAACACTCTGAACTCTTACTTTGATTTCTGCTTAGGTGAGCTTGTTACTATGTGTAGTAACACAAAAAGATTGGTCAGAATCAAACCTAGTGAAGGAGACTAACGTTAATTCATCATTGTCTAATCTCAGTCTGTTTCAGGAGCTGACCAAGAAAATGGAGAATCAGGAAAGATGTGCTTACATCACCTGACCAGAAAGTGATAGTAGTAGATTGTATATGCTTTGTATATGGCTGATCATTAGTGTTCTGGTCAATTCTGTCTTGGGTGGTTTTGCTTACCTCATCTGGCTTTCTTGTTTGGTTGGGTTTTGGCTTTTTCTTTAGCAAATTCTGCTTCAGTCAATGGCTAGATTATCCTGACTTTGTAAAGCAGCAAACATACTTTAATCTCAGGCTCATACTCTTGGTTGTTTAAATAAAGACATGTAGAGGTGTGCAATAAATGGTGGTTTCATAGTTCACACTTTTTAAATGATTCATACTATTCCTTTTGATAATACACGAATCAGTAGTTAAGATTGATGACCCTTGAGAGAAATCATTGTATGCTCACCAGCAACTGACTAGACCACAGCCTTGCAGCTGTGCCCTGCAGGAGAACCTCTGCTATGCAGAACTGAAGAGGAAGGACACAATAAAATACCAGCAACACATATATGCCAATGCAGGCAAAACTGTGACTTACCATAGCTTCCCATCTCATTAGACTTTGGGACATTTGCCAATACTATCCGTGTTTCTGTCTAATTCCAGAACATCAAATGGCAGCAAGCATAGTGTTCCTGCCTGCAGAGCCCCACTAAAAATATCCCCAGTCAGTGCTGAGTATCTGGTTAGAACAGCTTGCTGAACTCTATCAATTAGCCAGATCTTAATCTATTTAATGTGTTTTATTAAGGCTGTATAATCCTAATGTTTTAATCAAAATGTCAAGCAGTACTAAATCAAATTCATTAGGAAGGTCCAAGTCTATCACATCCATGTGGTTACCTTGATCAAACAAACCTGTAATCTCATCAAAAATTGAAGTCAGGCCTGCTTGTCAAGACTTGTTTCCATAAAGCCATGTGGACTTGGCTTTCATTATATTCCTACCCTTTAACTCCTTATTGATTGTATCACACATAGCATGACTGCTTTAATACACATAACATCAAATTTTATCTAGGTTTACTTAAAATGCCAGGTCTGTTATTAGCTTGGTCATTCTGCTTGACTCTTGGAATAACATGAGGTTTCCTTTGTCCCTTCAAATTTGTAGCTGTACAGAGAGCTGTTAAAGATTAACATTAGAAGGCTGGAAGTCTCCTACTGTTTTAGGCTCTTTGGATACTCAGGTGCCACAGAGACTGTTGATTGAAAAACAGCAGTGCCATTTTCATCCTCCATAGGTGTCAATGGCTAGAAAAATAATTCAGCATCCTCATGTAATATTAATACTATTTTTTTCTCTCATGAGTACAGGATAGAAATATTTACCATAAAAATTAGATCTTTTTTGCATGCTCAGAGACCAGATTTTGCAATGAAGAAGCTGTGATGAGGTGGGATGTGCCTGTACAAACCTGAAAATGTAATTCTGTAATATGAACTCCATTTTGCACAGTGGGCCACGTACACGTATGAATTAGCCCGTGTATAGAGTTACCTGTTACAGCTTGAGGTGATCTGTTCTTGATGCTGTTGAAAAGGAACGTCCTGCATCCACTTCAGCCCTGGGGTTTTTTGCCCCTTGGCCCTTCAGCTGTAAAAGAATTTCCCAGGGAAGTCAATAGTTTTTGCTTGGGTTAGTGATCTGGATTAGCTCGGCACAGGGTCAGGCTGTGCAAAGTCAGTGCAAAAAAAAAGGCAGAGCTGTAAGCCTTGGATGGAAAGATGAGAGTAGTCTCCCTTTTGTTAATTCAGCTCAGGCATGCAGTATAACTTCATCACAATGTTGGCCTCTTGGGTTATATTCTAAATGTATGCCCTACCCAGGAAGGGCTGTGTATCAGTGAAGAACTATCACAAGCCACCTAAACAGCAGTCAGGGCATAGAATTTAGTCTTAGACTGTCCTGTTGCAGTAGAACAACGTATTTCTTCCAGAGGGTTCTCCTAAAGCTAAGGTAGGACTCAATCTAGGTGTGTTTGCTCTGGAAGCAGGGGTCTTTTTCTAACAGAATGTGAGGTACAGGCTGTAACAGAAGCCACAGAAGAGTTAAAGCCTCAGTGATTATTCTCTGCACAGCAGTTGCTTGATGTATCTTTACTATAGGCAAATATGGAAAGCTCTGGGCATCTAATAGAGATAACTTGAGTTCTAGTCATGACAACTTGGGGCCTTACCTGAGACACAAAACTAGTCTAAGATGCTCAGCAAATACTAGGGTAGTTAATATATGCCATATACCATGTCGCCACAGATGTCAGCCTTCATTGTAGTTCTCAGGCTGACCTTCTGGTCTTGTCTCTGCAGCCAGGTTGCATTGTATTCCATACACAGTATTCTAGTTTTTCCTCTTGAGCCTTTTTTCT